CAGCGGGCAAACCCAGTGATGCTGGCGGTCCCTTATCTTCATCTACAGTGGCACAGACACTTAAGCAAGAATTTCAGAGATGGGTTATCCTAAATGTTAAAACACATTTTATATGTTTTTATATGTTTACATATGGTATTGGCTATGATTTCATGTTTAAAAGTGCATAGTGCTGCTAATATATTTTGTGGTTTTCAATATAAAACTTGGTGAAATGACTTCAGTGTGTGTGTATCGGTATTTTTTGGACATTTTCAGTACATTTAACAACACCACAATATAACACATAACTGTGATAATTTTGGTCACTATAATCATGATATGAAACTTTCATACAGTTTCCTCTCTATAGTGGGTTATAATGCAACTGGATGGAGAATCTCCCCTTTATTTGACTTATTTTCAAAGGAGAGACTTTTTCACACATGTTTATTGACAAAATTGCTTCAATTTTAGTATTAAAACATTTGTTCAACCAAAAAACCTTTAAAGGTCATTCTGACTGATAATAAAAAAATATCATATAATACCATGGAACCGCAATATTTTCTGGGATGGTTATCGTACTGTAAGATCTCATACCACTGCAAACTTTAATATAAATCCCAAAATATTCAATAAAGTAAGAAAACTGTAAACATAGGGGACCCATTATATGTTTTGCTAGATGTTAAGTATTTCACTTCTATCTATGATGTCCCTGCTTGTGTTAATGGTTGTCTGCTTTTTCTTATCATAAAAAATAATAAAGTATAAACATAATAAGAAAAGAGTCAAAATTGTCACATTCAAAATGGCATTAAATTTCATAAATGATTTAATGGTGTTGTCATTTTAACGCTGCCATGAAGATATAAAAACATTCATTAAAACCATTGATTTTAACACAGTAATGTCACTAAATTGCACAAATACACTATGGCTCACTGCATTTTTCATTTATTATTCTGTAATTAAAAGGTTTAGTGGCACAAACATTTAGGAAAGCACTTTAAAAGTTGACATAATTGATGCCCAGCTGACAGAGAATATTTCGGCTGCAGTGTATAAATGTGTGGCAGTGGGTTAAGGGTCCATGATGTGAATATGAAGCAGCAGTTGGGGGGTTTTCTCCTGTAAAGGCCTCTGAGCCTCGACTTCTCGTTGGCCGCCTGGAACAGTTCACTGTCTGCTCCAACTGCTAACGTTAGCCAACTCGAGGGCGAGGCTTTGGCGTCTAAAGGCCAACTGCTAGGCCATTAGTTACCAAAAATAGTCACCAAACACATCCACACATCGTGAACACATGTTGTAAAAACGCATAAATGTTGGATTTAAACACCTGGCCACACGTGTGGATCCACTGAAGCTGGTCCACAGTGAACCAAGTTAGCTACTGTTTTGGAAGCGAATGCTCCGCGGGGCGAGGCAGCCCATTACACAACCGTCGGTCCCGACGTGCTAAACAACGGTTAAAATATCCTAGAAACGCATTGCGCTCCATAGCGAAAACAAATCTTTGTTAAATCACACTTTAACTCTGCGCGTAGAAAACTTTTAAAACGGAAATAGAATAAACGGAAACAAAACAGCATAGGGCAAATGGAAAGGAGCCGGAAATCCTGGCTAAGGTTTACAGCGTTACAAGACTTCCGAGAGCAGCCGCGATAAATACGACACAAGCTACACAGGGAAACTAACACCACAGAGCCACTGCGATGTCGCTAATATACTCTAAAAACGCTCGGTTACACACAAACTGCTGCTATACAAAGAAGCACGGACTGAAAATTAGTTTTTAATCGTCTCTGGATGTATACGCACTGTGTGTTTGAGGTTGGACGGTGATCAGCGCCGCGGCAGCAGACAGTCTCCTCTTCACGGCTGTTAGCAACCTAGCTAACACACAACTGCTAAAACTGGGTTTGTCCAAAATAAACTAACGCTGTTTCAGTTTCTCCAGATAACCAGAAATCGCCAGGAGCAGCTGTGCTATCTTGCTAGCTGCAGTGGAAGTTGGCCAATACTCTGAGTGTGTTTTTATGACTAGCTTGAAAGGTAGGCGTCCTCTTCCCACTAAGCTAAGTAGTCAACAACAGCTAGCTAGCTAGCTAGTGAGCCACAAAATAGCGGGAAGACCAAGCACGACAAACAGTCCCCTTACATGACCGCAGTTAAGTACACTTTCTGTAAAACAAGCACGTTTTGTGAGACATACCCATACCTTTTAAAATTCAGGCCTTGGTAGATGTTGGATTGTGTTCAACTGTGGTAGATAAAGCAGCCAAAATTCTCACAGTCGAGTCGTATCATGCAAGTTTTTGGTCAACTACACACACACTCATAGGAGGGGCGGAGACTAACTGGCAAGACAGTTACCCTAAAACTAGTATGGAAAACACTAAATGTCACTTCTCTTTATTTTAGCGTGGACTTTATTCGCTTTATCATAATTTTGGATCGTATTATTAGAGCTAATATGTGTCCAGCACATGAAGTTTGGCTTTTTAATAAACATGTTTCCCCATCAGTTTTAAATATCATGGTTAATCATCCATTTAAAATACACTCTGATTGCTTAAACAAACATATTCCCATCAGCTTCCACTAACTCAGTAACATGCTATGTGTCCTCATGTGACCGCATTTTTATTTTGAAGTTCCCCCTGTTTCCTGTAAGATGTTTAAGCACGGAAATAAAGCCTAGGAATTAAATCAAAGTATGCAGAGGCCACTATTTTGATAGCAGCTATTTTAGATACTTGCAACAGGGTGGGTTACCCTGCTAGGGTGCCCAGGGGTAAAGATGAGCCGTGTGCCTCTATTCAGCCTCCCCCTACACGCACATCCCCCTAAACAGTCATATTTCCTGTGTTTAAGAATATGGACAATTTAAGCATAACATATCAAAGGTGACACAGGCTGCATGTTCAAAATCTCATTACTAGATAAACATGCAATGGCCAGTTCAGGGCTCATATCAAGTCAGTACCTGATCCAGTGGTGTAGTGGATGAGGTGGGCGTACTACTATGTAGATGGGTGAGTTCCCGAGGAAGAAGTAGGTATGCCCTCCCATATATTCCAGTGTTTTATGGCTGATAAGCCGGTATACTTTAAAAGGCCAGAAGAAGAGGTGGGTGTACTCTCCACTATGCTACAGCACTGGTCCATCCAGGGCTGAGGACCCAGGAGAGGAGGGTATACGCAGGTCTACTGGGTATACCCTCCTCTCTTTTTGGCTTATAGGTGGGTGTACTGTAAAAGGCCAGAAAAGAGATGGGTATACCCTCCACTACACCATAGCACAGGTCCCTCCAGGGCTGAGGGTCTAGATATGAGCTCAAAACATTTAGCCTTTCTCCAGTTCTTTATCCAGCCTTGGTTTTTGTGTCTTTATGTATCAGGTAAAAGCTGTGTGATGGTTACATTAATGCACACTAGTATGTTTGGTCGTTTTATTTTTGCAGACTTGTAAAGAATAGTTTAGACAAACTGTGATATTCAGTGTTGCATGTTCTGTGCAATGGCAAAACCAATTGCCTGTCCAACATCAGCCTCTAAAAATTTCTTACATTATCATGAATCCTGAATGTGTTGAATCACAGATTTGCACTATTGCTGTTCTGCTGTTTAATATCTGAAGGACAAACCGATATCTGTAGATGTGATTCTGATGTTTTCCAGTCATGTTTCTAACTCTTGCTTGATTTTTTTTTTTTAATTAAATGCATAAAAATTTTGAGTTTACTAATAAACTTGATGAAAACAAATTGGTCTTGTTTGTGGCCTTAATGATTCCTTTGTTTAATGTATCATTTTCATGTCTGTCATAATGTTGCTCCCTGGGGATCACTAAGATTTGTCATTTAAGAAAGATTTAATGAAATGAAACGACATGTAAAAAGCCAGACAATTGTAAGCATTTAAGCTACAGAAAGACCATTTGGATCCTATGGCATCATGTGTATAAGTCATGCTTTCAAGGTCCACTGCCCTCCCCCAGTACTCAGGTTAAAGTTAGCTTTACATTTGCATTTATATACAATCACATTTGCTAATCCTTGAACATAATTCACATTATTATTCACATTATATTTATTCATCCAGCAAAACATGATCACTTCAGTTTAAATCCTGATCGTAGCGAATAATTTACTGCAGGGTTAAACCAGTAGATTCAGAGGTATTGAAGGATGCTACATGTGCAGCACATAAAGAGTGTATTGTTTACGTACAGTATGAAGGCAGCTCTTGTTTCGAAAGGCACGGTCGAGACGGAAATGACCGATATTGACGAATATCCTGTTTGGGTGTCGTAACTTCAAAATAAAAGCGGTTAATTCCAAGTAGTGTGTTGAAGTGCATGTACTGGTAAAGGCACATATGAATAAGACGTGAAAAAGTTTTACACTTCACCCTTAGAGTCTGCACATAAAGACTCATAGTCAGCAGTTTTCTTTTATAACCTATATGGTTTTAAAATTAGCTTTACAGACACAAGATGAGCTCCATGAATGAACAAAAATAATTACAGTTCATTGAAAATGTGAGGGCAGAACAGGCTAGTGAGTATATATTTACATATTTGTGTATTATTAAACTTAAAAATTATAGACTCAAAATCCAAGCACATTATAGGATTGGCTGAGTCACAGGGTCTCTATTTTTATTATAATTATTTCGGTGATAATATTAGGGTACATAATTCTAACAGGAGTAGTTTGGCATACACAATGCAAACCAGTACATTACCTAACTATGAGCTCTAAAACCAACACAGTTAAATCCTCAACTTTTGGACACAGTATCAATAAAATTTAGTTTCATTTTCTAGCACTGTTTGCTATATAAGTTTCACAAAGATAGCACTTATTGCATGTATATTGTATGTAATTACCTGATATTGTCCTAGTGTGGCTATTTCACTGTTAAAATTAATGTATGTGTGCAGGTTTTGTCAATAGCTACATGTTGGAGATTATAGATTATACATTTATGGTGAAGGACGTGGACCGGAAGTATCGCCGTTGCTGCGGGTGCTTGAACACAGGCGAGCCAAGATGGCAGAGTACCTGGCATCCATTTTTGGGACAGAGAAAGATAAGTAAGTAGTTATCGTTGTTTTATTTGATTGCTGGGCGGTTTTTGTTTGCTATATTTGCTAAAGTTCCCGTTGACTAGCAGCACGTTGTAAAGCGGTGTTCGTAGACTTCAGCTGGTGGCCGGCTTTAGCAACTAGAAGCTAAGCTAGTGTTAGCATGCTAGCTAACGTTTGTAAAATACCGCGCCGTGATTGCATCTGTGTGCTGTGTTGTGTGGCGCTGGGACGGACAGAAAACAATTAAAACGAGTTACTTTTTCAGAAATAAAACAGAATAATTTCGGTTATCAAACTTTATTAAATTTAACTCCAAATCCCACCTACCCTCGTGCCAGCCAACCATAGTTAGCTACTTTGTAAAACCCATAATGGTCTTTGTTACGGTGGGAAACTCACGGATAGTCCCACCGTGCGAGCCCCTCACTTTGTTATTAACGTTAATTAACGGTTCCCTAGCCGTTTAATCGCACAGTGTTAACATTATTTATCATTTTGAGCAGTAAATTCACAGTAAGTAAATGAATGGAGGCAGGCGTGTCTCTACTCTATACTAAGTGTATCACGTTAACGTTACTTTAACGTTACTTTGTTCCAACTTCACTGCCTCCTAACACTCCTGACATGCCCCTACTGACCTCAATTAAGTGAAACACAAACACGGATCTTTTACAACTAATGGAAAAGCTTTTTTAACCTAAGATGACAGAGGATTTTCCATATTAAAGTCGTTTATATTGGTATTGCTCACCCCCTGGAGACATGATGATGTCTTTAAACATATTATAAAAACAAACACTTACTTGTTTCACTATCTGTTTCTCTTAAACTCTCTGTAACACAGACAAAAATGGCCTTGTTCAACCCGGCTCAAAAGAAATAATGTGATGTACACAGAAGGGCCTGGAACCATGAGTTGATTAATTGAATAGTGGCATTTTTTCTATAATCCATTTATCATTTTAGTCCCTTTTCAAGTATAAATTAGATTACACCCTGCTAGATTACATTTATTGAGCCAGATTGAATTTTCAGACATAGTAACAAAGTGTAAAGAGTGTTTTTATATTGACCCAGACTCAGGGGTCAGCAACCTTTATTATCAAATGAGCCAGATTAGGCAAAACCAATAATTAAAACATATTTTTGGAGCCGTACATCATATTTGAGACAGCTTGTCAATAGGGATGCACTATATTGGATTATGTTGCCGATGTCCAATAGGCCGTTATATATAAAAACTTAATGAACTGATAATTGATACTGCTATCAATATATACACTTTTTTTCCCCACCCAATTTTAGTGAAAAATTAGTGGAAATTCTTCCGTCTTCTGTAGTGGAATTAACATCATATTATTCATGCATACTCTTATCATGACGGCCCACCAGAAGATGGAGACGTGAAATAGAAAGCTTTTCAATGTATGTAATATTCATTCATTGTGCAAAATAAGAAAAAGCATTTTGGCTGATTCGGATAATTCATTTGAAAGCTGATATCGGCCGATACTGATAACGTGCTGATATTAACGTGCATCCCTTATTAAATCTAATTTAGCCTTCCAACATTACCAATAGATATAAACATTCAAACATTCATTAATATGTTTTAAGTCAAGGTGGCTACTCTGCAGTGGGCTAGTTATGATTATTTGGTACTTGATTATTTTGCAGTGTTGGTGGTGAAAGCAAACAATTCTGTCCAGGCACTATTAAATTCTCTATCATCCTTTCAGACTTCCTTTTTTTGGATTTGGCATCTATAGTTAGCTTACTAAGGATAAGCCAAGACCACCATTAAGGTTCCACAAAATTCATAGTAAAAGGCACAAAGCAGAAGTTGTAGACACACCACTTGGGTAGTTGACGAAATGTTTAAACACTTTTTTTTTTTAGTCAGTGTATAGGCTACACATTTTTACAACTGGAAAAAAGGAAATCACTTTAGGCCTACAACAATAATAAATGAAACTGAAACTTATTTATTCATATAGTTTTTAGTCAAAGCTGCAGGGAGTCACAGGTGGGGGGCTAAAGAGCCACATGCAGCTCCAGGGTTGCTTAACCCTGCCCTAACTCATTTTCATTATTGTATTTTCTCCCCAGGGTCAACTGCTCTTTTTATTTCAAAATTGGTGCCTGCCGACATGGCGACCGCTGCTCCAGATTACACAATAAACCAACATTCAGCCAGGTAAGATCATACTGTTTTTTTCCTTGTTCTAAAATATCCTAATATAGATAAACTGATAAGGGAAGCTACTATTTTCAGTCAAATGGAAATTATGGGGAGACTTAGTTCTGTAATGGACATGGCATATCCACCATGTAATGTTTAGTATTAGGGGAAAAAATGACTTGACTTGCTACAAGTTCTAGTCACATGTAGTGTGCATCTTTGACTCAAAGATGATTACGTTGTCTGGCTGATATTAGTAGAACTTAAAGACTTTGAGTCCTACTAATATCAGGCAGGCAACTGGACAGGGAAATATTTGAATAGGGTTTATCTGAATATCTGAATATATTTGCAGAAAGCACTGAAAACATTACTTTTTTCTGGTTATCCGTATACTCAGTCAGCATAGGATTGCTAAGGATATTTACAGTGTTTCTTTGATAGTTTTCTGTGCTCTTGACACAAACAATCCATTTCTTAATTAACATTTTTGTGTTTCAGACAATTGCCCTCCTGAACATTTACCGGAACCCTCAGAACAGTGCCCAGTCTGCTGATGGGCTGACCTGTAAGTGCTTCTATACGTTCTGACAGTTTTTAATTTGCATTGGAAGAGATGTGCAGAGTATTTTCTTTAGTGTAACTGGGAGACCACATTTATTAATTATTTATTTATATGTTAGTAAAAGCCCTAATTGTTGAGAGTTTGACTCATCAATAGGAATTTGTTTTCAAACCAAATTCTAAAAGAGGAAGGGCTTGCTTTTATGTAGAATGTAACGATTGCTCAGAAGATTATTTGGGGGAGGGGGGCGTCATGTTTATAAATTAGCTCAGGATAAAATAATTTGTTCAGGCAAAGCAGAAACTAATACTGGAATCTTATCAATATTGTAATTACAGATTAAAATAAATTTAAGGCCACCAGCCTCTAGGAGCTCTTCAGGTAGTACCTAAGTGGTAGTCCTATGATGTGATGTCAGCGTTTTAACCTGCAAGAAGTCGCACCTAAAGTCCCCTCTGTATTTATTGTACAGTTATAAATGTAATTGTTCTCTACTGAAAGCAGGCGTTAAATTGTATTGACGAGTGATCTAACCTTAAGAAGCCTGTTTGGAGGCATCAGTGTTATGTTAGTCCACCCAAGTGACCTCATGCCACTCAATCCAGTCATTCACCCTCCTGAAAAAAGCACATTGTGTCCAGAATTTGTGTTTAACACAGAATTTACTGCAGAAATTATAATGTAATATCCATGTGTCGTTGTTTTGTATTCCCGTTATAATTCTCTCTTATAACCACTAGGTGCCATCAGTGACATGGAGATGCAGGAGCACTATGATGAGTTTTTTGAGGTAAGTAATGCCACTCTGAAGATAGAATGCAGGTCTGCCTCAAACCATGACTACACCACTTTGCCCCGGATACATTTTCTTTGACTTCTTTGGAGGAAATAATTTAATAATTATTATTATAATTGGGCCACTTAAAACATGACTATAAATACTTCCTGTTGTAAAACCTCAGGCAGTCACATTAGGGCAGTGGGTCTGTTTTGCATGTAAAAGCACCAAATTATATCTTAATGTCAAACTCTTCCTTTAATGGACTGAAACTCAACATTTCAGCTAAGGGTGCTTTCACACCTGCTCTGTTTGGCTCTAAGTGTGGTTCGTTTGGGCAGGTGTGAACATGTTCCGACCTCGATCCGAACCAGCTGCAGTCACATGACACATTGTTTGGGTTAAACATGAGCATGTTACCGTCCTGGAGGATTATTAATGTGCACCTCCTCCTGTACTGCCTTAATATGCACATTCAGCACATCCAAAGACTCAAAACATTGTTTTCTAGTTGTAGCCGCACCTCGTTCTCAAATTGTATGGTTTGACTAAAATGAACAAATCAAGCGAACTCTAGGTCTGAAAGCACCCTAACATTCAACTACATGACGTCACCCTTAATTTTTCTCTCGCAGGAGGTCTTCACAGAGATGGAAGAAAAGTATGGCGAGGTGGAGGAAATGAACGTATGTGACAACCTTGGGGACCATCTAGTGGGAAATGTGTATGTGAAGGTGGGTGTCAGGTCTAAAATCTGTCAGTGTTACCACTGCTGTAATGCCATGTGTTTTTAGCTTGGATCCAGAGCTGGTGATTTTTCCTCTTCAAATAAACTCTGTGTGTCTCTTGATGGTCCTTTGTAGTTCCGTTATGAAGAGGACGCTGAGAAGGCCGTGATAGACCTGAATAACCGGTGGTTTAATGGACAGCCAATCCATGCTGAGCTCTCCCCTGTCACAGACTTCAGAGAAGCCTGCTGTCGCCAATATGAGATGGGGTGAGTGCTACGTGATAGGACACAGCTTGTTACACAATAAACCAATAAGAAACTGTGGGAGGGCAGACTCAGACTAGAACCTAGAAGAACAGTTGCTTATTGAAACACTTCCCCATTAATGCTTTCGATGACGGTGTACTCTTGATAAAACAAAGAGGAAGTTCAACACTGTGTTTACTTAAATCTGTAGGACATCTCTGTTCAGGGTTTCAGCCATTGCAACAATGACCCCTTTAAAAGATATAATGTCTGGTTACTACGACCTTGCTGCACCCAGTTGTCTCCCATAAAGATAAAGGACAGGATCATTTTTATGTTTTTTACTTTCTACTACTTTTCTACATTCTTTATGCTCCCAGTTTATTCCCTGAGATAATCCACTTATTTCTGATTCCTAAAGTATGTCGCACATCTTTGTTTTTAAGATGATGTCTCTCTCCATCAGCAAACTGTAGCTTGTATGTTGCAGCTGCTGTTTTAAACTTGTTCTCCACTGACATTCCTCAGTGTCTTTTACCTCACATGTTATTTGGCGTATTATTCTTTTCTGCTCTAACTGCGCCACGCTGTCCTCTCTCCGCAGGGAATGCACTCGTGGTGGCTTCTGTAACTTCATGCATCTGAAGCCCATCTCACGTGAACTGAGGAGAGAGCTCTATGGGCGTCGGAGGAAGAGGTATGAATATCAGTTACCTTATACACTCAGGCACTACAGTTCAGTTCAGTTAGGCACTAGATGTTGCAATCCCTGATGCGCAAACTTGAGACTTTGAGTGGGAGTAATATTGCTGTCTGGGGGTCCAAGTGGGAGCCCAAGGATTAGATGGATAGAAAAGAGCATAGGGAAGGCAGAGCCAAGGAGAGACATCTGTGCGGACTGAGCTCTCCCTGCTGGACCGGGCCGTACACTCTACCTCCTCCTACTCCCTCATTTTGATGAGGGAAGAAACGAACAGGAGAAAAACATACCAAACTTAAATTGAAGTGGAGTTTAACTGGTTTATTGTTGTTGCACTTACTTGCGATTGTGGGTTAAAGTTAGAGCCATGCTACGGGAGGAGGGGTAGCGGTGTAGGGAGGATGTTTCAATGATAGGGTATGATAGAGGGCTAATTGGCAACACCTGGCGCCCCCCTCTGCTTTTAATCCCTAGTACCCTGCTGTTGTGAGTGGTGAACATGAACGTCTGGGTGTTCTCACAGTAATTCATAATCACTCCTCCTGCACTCCCACAGCCGCCACAGGTCCCGGTCTCGATCGAGAGAGAGGCGATCTCGCTCGAGGGACAGAGGTCGAGGAGGTGGAGGTGGCCGTGACCACGAGAGACGTCGCTCCCGAGACAGAGAGCGTTCAGGACGGTTCTGAACCACAAGCCATGACTACTTGTCCTTCCCTCCCGGTATCCATCCCCAGTCTTTTTTTTTTTTTTTTTTTTTAAGTTTGTACCCTTCCAGGTCTATTCAAGGACTGACTGAGAGGTACCTGATTTTGAAGCTGTGACAGCATTGATGAACTTGTCTGTTCTTGATTTCTGAAAATGACTTTCACCTCATTAAATTTAACATTTTTACTTAACATGACTGATGAATCATACTTGTTACTACATAGCATTAATAATGTTTTTATGTGCTGCCTTCCTGTTGGAAATACAGTAAGAACTAAATGTTACTAAACCAAACGTGTAGTTAGTTATTCAGCTCATTTCATTGCTCTGAGGTCGCAGTTTCAGATGAAAGCCCCGCATCAGAGTTCCTTTGACAGTCCTTTAAAACAGAAGGCAGCAAAAAGATCTTTTTCTGTTGGTCTTCGCTCTTTTGAAAAACACCTGATAATTTGTTTTGAGAACAGCCAGAGTAGATTCAAACAAAGTCCTTAAATCAGAACAGTCCTGCTGTATTTTCATGTTCACTTACACTGAGTGAGCTTATATCATTTCTGCAGAGAGTTTTTTTTTTTACTGTACAGATTTCCAGATGGGTCAGTGTATGTGTAACTTTTGGGTTTTGTACGTCAGAAATCATTCTGCCCTGGCTATGGTCGTGTTTTATAGTATTGTGCACAGGGTAATATAATCTGCTGAAGCTTAACTTTGTGCTGTGGTCCTGGATGTTTTGTGCCATTTAAGATGGTGCTCAAGTAATGAAATACATTAACTTAAGTACAGTTTTTGAGTTTCTTGTAATTTGTTCACATCCAAGTGTTAAAGTTCTTTAGCTTGAATATATCAAAGGACAATAACAACTTAGAAAATAACCTGATGTGGCACCAGGGAAGAAGAAGTCCAAAAAAACAACCAGCAGCGTGGGTTTTAAAGCAACCTGGACAGTGGCCCAGGTGATGACCTTCAGCTCTAATCAGTGAGGAACCAGGAACCCTGGAAGTACACACAAAACACACACAAACCCTGACAGAGGCCCACAGGCTGTCACAGTATTAAACGTGTATGCATAATAAGAAGAAATATGTAAATAAAGAGATGTTAAAGGGGAACAATGCCCGTTTTCAAAATTCACGTGTTATTCCTGTGGTTTGAGACAGTCCAAAAATATTAGTTAACATAAACGTTTACCTAAAGTCTGGAGCTGCTCCATTAATAATGAACTGTGAAAGATGTTCTAGATGGCACAGAGCACCCAGGGGAATGTTCTGAGTATATGGGAACATTTTCTATTCAGAACATAGAACACTACAACAGAATAAAGCTAATTTGGGTATAAAAACACAAACATTTTATGAGTCCACAAATCAGGCTCCAAATGACTGTCTATGGAGCAGCTCCAGAAGTAATAAATGGTAAATGGACTGCAGTCTTCTGACCACTCAAACCGCATTTACACAACATGTCACGTTCACATACAGGTGGCCGAGGCTGCCGCCTGCTGCTCAGCGACCATTCACACGCTCTCTCACACCAATGGGGCAGCTATCAGGAGCAATTCAAGGTTTTGTATCTTACGCAAGGATGCTTTGACATGTGGAGTGGAGGAGCCAGGGATTGAGCTGCCAATATTGCGATTGGAGGATGACTCACTACCTCTGAGCCCCAGCTGCCCTAGATATACCCTATGACATCACAAGTTTGAGACTTCTTTGGTTTCTGGCGTTGAGAGCTCATACTCCCAAATATTGATTGAACTTTAATAGACCATGGAAATACACACTGGGATTCTTAATTAAAGTGATGTTACCCTTTAAAATATAGTAATATAAATTGGTGGAAGACAGTGCTGACGGTACTATCTATCTACGTACCTACCTACCTATCTAGAAGCACAATGGGTGACATGTCTGCTGAGTGTGGCGGCCTTGCAAGAACGTGGACGTTTTCAGCAAGGCAGACAAATGGCATGACATTGGGTCTCAGGATCTTGTCGCAATATCTCTGTGCATTCAAACAGCCATCAATAAAATGCACCTGTGTTCCTTGTCTGTAGCTCATGCCAGCCCAGAGTCGTAAAATAAAGACAGTGCAGGCAGTGCGGTTGCTCTCTGGCCTGGGAGGTGGGGCGCCCATAGAGAAAGCGGGCCCTCCAACAATGAGTTGGGTAGAGAATGGGCCTTTCTGTGTGATTGCTGTCTTGAAAATATTCCTATGTTCAAAGAAGAACTCGCATTACATTCAAAAAGGTGCCATTTGCCATATATGCTCTTGAAAAAGGCAAATAAACTATAAAATGATTAAATTAAATGAATAATTTCTTATTTTCTTTGGATTTTTTGTTACATACAGATGCAATGATGATTAACATACAGTAACATATACTGTATGTTGCTGTTTTGAGACTCAACATGTGACCAGACAATAGCGTGCAATGGGGCCTGTTGTAACTACCTTACGCCACTGTGCCAGCCCATACCATAACCCCACTGCCACCATGGGACACTGTGTCCACAACATTGGCATTAGCAAACTGCCTGCACACACATGCCATATATAAGCTGTCTGCCATCTGCCTGGTACAGGATAAACTGGGACTAATCTGTGGAGAAATCTAGAAGTAGTGTGTCTTAAAGCACACATAATACGAACAGAAGACTGTTTTTCCAAATTATTCTGCTGATGGAGGAAAGTTTTTTTTTCTCTGTGCTCACCTTAAATCTGAGTTCAAGTGTTTGTATGAGAGTGGTTTTCTGACAAAACTAGTTTTGACGTCAATCACAGTTCGAGTTTCAAATTACGCAAGTGTGATGTGGAAACTTTAAAGAGAGTAGCAAGAGACACACATATTTCTATTCTAGATAGATGAATTGTACATGTCTTATCAGAAGTAAATGGTGTATCACAGAAGAGAAATCTTTCATATTAAAAAGACAAATCACTTGTTTGTTCTGTTATGTCCTCACGTGGCCTGTTGTTACCACATGTAGTGTCTCAATAGACCAGAAGGAGGCAGTACTGACACACAGGCTGTGCACTGGATGTGATGCATCAACAGCTCTACAGAAACAGAAACAGTTCCTCATGAGAACATTGAGTTCAGTTGAGCTTAAAGGGCCACGCTGTCTTCAGTCAGTGATACCATTAATTCTGCATTCAAGTGCAGCTCGATGCTGCGGGTATAGGTAAAATAAATTTTCTTTTTTCCTTGATATTTTCCAAATTGAACACATAAACCACACAATAATATTTGGTCGGAACAATAATATAGAATATACAAAACCAAGACAAGACAAATACCAAAAACAACTACACCACTAAGAATATAAAATAAATTCATATTAAAAATATCAAAATATGTGCATTATGATACAAATAACATGGTTGTTAGTTGGACAACTGTCTGTAACAGTATTAAAAGGCTTAATGTGAAACCAGTTAAAGAGGCAAAACACTATATGCCAACATCAAAAGTAAATTTTAATTCGTGAAAATGTGATTTAATCTTTAACCTAATTTAGCTTAATCATCTGAGGATATTTGTTAGAAGGAAACAGACACAGCCTGCCCTCATAACATGATTGGATTAATATTAATTTATTTTTTTCTGACTAATATTAGAGGATAAGTTGAGCCACATGTAGTTGATGTCATCCCGTTTATTTTTCTGCAATTGTTTTGGCACATGTTTCTGATTTTACACCAAGTGATAGTTTTGAAGATTTTTTTTTAATTTTATTTTTCTTTCTGAACATCTGTATTTAACTTTTTAGGCACTTGGCTGTCCAAAATCTAAGTAATTCAGTGTCCTTTACATCATAAAGAGCCCGTCTTTTGGCAATATTTAACATTTTCTTTTTTTTTTTCTTCAAGCTTTCTTTTTTCTTAAATATGCTGTTTTCACATTAAACCCTGTAGCATATCAATCTTTTAAAAGTTATTATGACATTCATAAATTGTTTGTTAAAGACTTTAAAGTTAGACTTTTGAAAACAGAAAAAACAAAAATATTCCCTTTTATGATGAAAATTAAATCCATAAACCGTAATGTTGTGTTCACACCAGATGCGAATAAAACAATACGCACAATTGAATTACATGTAAAGTCAATGTAAAGATGCGATTAGATGTGAAATGCAGGAATTAAGTGGTGCGAATGAAGCGAGTAGTGCGATTTCGCATCATACGCCTTTTTGCGAGAGTTGAAAAATCTGAACTTTAACGACCAATTTCAAGTTCAGATGTATGACACAGAGGATGTATTGGCTGAAGTTCATTCATAGATTCAGCAATTTCACGCGCGTATGAAATGGGTCAATGCAAATTATTTTAGTGTTCAAACTTCTCATTGCGTTTGGTGTGAACTCAACATAAGATCCAACCTAGTTTAATTTAATACACTGCTGCCACAGCCTCATATGGTCTGGTATGACCTGTTGCTAATATTAGCTAATACTAACTGTAGGTTACAAACGCATATGTTTTAATCGAAGGTCCAGTGTGTAGGATTTAGGGTCATCTATTGGCACTAACTATGTTTTCATTAATTTATTATCACCTGAAAATAAGAATAATTTTGTTTTTGTCACCTTAGAATGACCCGTTTATATCTACATACAGATATTGGCCAGGGAAGTTGTCCTACACACTTTGCACACAGGAGGAGTTTCAATTCTGCAGCATCACCATTAGATGACACTAAATCCTACACACTGGACCTTTAAAAATATATCACTGCATATGTGTTTTGCTTAGGTTTTATATGACAAAAACTCCAGCAAATAATACCATCACTGAGTGTTATGTTATCTCCCTTTTTTCTTTGAGAGTGCATTGGTTTACCCTTACTGCCCTTACTGCATTATATACTTTCAAATCCCAGGTTGCTGTTTCAAGACGACTTTTTTCCCCTCTCACAAAAAAATGGGTGACTCCTAATTTATTTGTTTTTCATCGCACCATCATTTGCGACCATATAACAAGAATGAATGTTGGCATTGTTATTATGTAGCAGACATATGTATTTACATTTCTATATGTTTCAACAAAGCTGTAGTTAACATGTGGTAATGTTTAGGCACAAAAACCACTTGGTCATGATCTGGAAAAGATGATTTTGGTGCTCCAATTGCCTGATAATTTTTCAACCTGTTACACTCCATTTCCATTTTTAGTCAGACATTACAACCACTCTAACTGATTTCCTTGGGAGGAGGGTTCAGTTTCTTCCTAACCAATCACTAGAGACAACGTGTCTGCCTGAATCTAATGCCATTTTAAGTCCACACTGATGCGTAGCCAACAAACCTGTTTTGGGTTTACACAGTGACGCAAAAGTAAAACAAACTATGAGGTTTGGGCAATATTAAGAAGACATGCCGATTTACAACAGCCTTGATAGCATCATCTATCTTGTCTACAGTGCTCGCCATTGTTATTAGTTCTCACTGGTTCCAGAACAAGGGCTTGACAATGGTGTATGTCTCCCTGCGGCACTTGTTGGTCATTCTTTATTATAACTGAGAAGCCGTTGTTTCATATCATGATGCCAGACAAAGCAGTCACCTCAAACTCAGTGACGTGGGTGGATTCAAAGGTCTCGTCCAGCTGTGACGCCCAGGTCTCACATCATCCGCCATCACCTTCACCATACAATGACAAGGTCACCTTATATAACCTACACGTAATCTGAACTACAGAAACATCGATATGATACGTATGAATTATACAAATGCAATGTATCTCTGATTTGCAGAAACGTACAACGCCAACATTTTCTTGTGGC